GCACCAATCTAACAAGCTTAAAGTATCAAGCATCGCAAACCTTCTTTGGCAACTTTGACCTGGAAGAAATTAAATATCTCAAGCAAACAGTGTGCATCAGCAGCTGCATATGCCTTCTGCTCTTCTGTAAGAGGACGGCATGACCAATCACTGCATTGAAGTTTCTAGAAGAATGTACATTGTAATTTATAGCAGCAAGATTATTGAATCATAAATTAATGTCGTGGAATGAAACAGAATTCAAGAACATGGTTTGGCAACATAAGGACTGAAACTCCTCTTCAACACTTCAAATAGACAAAATGTGGGTGTTAAAGTATAAAACCTTGGAAAGCGAGAAACCCAATATTTCCTCACAGATAGTTGACAAGCCCTTGGTTTCCTTTGGCATCTTTCTTCCGGGTTGGTTGTGTTGAAGATAATTGTATATGCTTGCAATATCAAAATAGGGTTCCACCTATTCTCCAACAATTAGAAATGCATCACCATTTTTATCACTTAAAAGCAAATACATCAAATAGTTCTCCCTCAAATACTAATCCATCACATTAAACTGCAGTGTGAAAATCTCAAGTGTTCTATTAAACTCATTAATTCAGTTGCACTGTTAAAGTCAGCCAAATTAATTCGTTCTATGCTTCCAATTGTCCGTTACAGATCAATTTACTTAACTAATTGAACGAATGCTAAATAATCAGAAGTTTTACATAAGCTAAAGAACTCAAAAACCTTCTTGTGTAATCAATCCAATGCCCATCTATGTCTTCAAGGTCAACAAACATATGAACAAATGTACATGAGCAAATGAATGGATGGTACTGGAAGTTAAATTTACTCAAAATTATATTGCGGAAATTAGTAACTCTAGGTGATCCTTCACGGCTAAATTCACACCTCAAGGATTAAATTCAATGGTGTGAATCCCTAAATTGACTTCGAAATGTGTCTGATTTCCCCATTTTAATANGTTCTCAAACCTGAAACTTTAGACCAAATATCATTAGCAAGAGCAACACTATCTGTGAAAATAATAGACTGATAAATAGAAAAAATATCAGATGCACCAATCATGTGGTTAAAAGTGCCAGAATCTATGATCCAAGAACTACGAATGGAGGATAATAAACAAATAAAAGTAGTACCTGACTGAATAAAAATAGCAGTGAAAAAAGATGGAACAGTCTGTTGCTGGGACAAAAACTGAGCATACTCCTCTCGTATAATAGTAACTGACCTAGAGTCTGGTGGAGCTGACGGAGGTATGAAAGCAACAACTGAGGTGTCATCCTGATAAAAAACATGATTAGTAGCACTAGAAGGCTTTCCATACAAATTCTAACAAAAATCAACAGTGTACCCTCCACGAACACAATAAGTACAGAAACGAGGTCCACTATGGCCCCCACGACCACCCGTACGATCTCCTGTATGACCTCCTTGNCTTCATCTAAACTATCTCACCATTTTATCTCTCTCTCCAAAACCCATCTCTCTCTGTCTCTCTCTCGCGTTGTAATAATGGTGTCCTCTATAACTGTGGGATGCCGACACATAAACCAGGCCACAAAGCCTCTGTGCTTGAGAAATCAGTCAGAGAAGAGCTCAAAATCAAACGGAGAGTACAACGATANTGTATGACCTCCTTGACCACCACGTCCACCTCGATGACCATCACTGTGACTACTAGAAATCACAAGAGTTGAGTGATCAGTGGAGGCACCATGATCAATGCCTGTAGGAATAGACAAAGTAGCACGCTGTAAACGAGAGAAAAACTCAAGTAATGAGAGAAGACTAGAACTACTCAAAATTTGAGAACGAATAGCCTCATATTCAAGTTTCAATTCTACCAAAAATCTAACAACATTCAAATCTTCATGTTGCNGTATTCCATTAGTAAAATGTAATGAAACCGCCTGATTTTTTTGGTGTTATCTGTCGTTTATTGTAAGAACTAAGAATTACTCTTCTGGAAAGGATTTTTGGTCCTNTGGTCAATTGTTGCAAAGAGACTTGGAATTTGCTAATTTGGTATTTGAAGTTTTTCAATTTTGACTAGCTTTTTTCATGTATATCTTACGAATTCAATCCTTTAAATCTCAATTTTTCTACGGTTCCATTGGTTCCATCAATTCATCAATAAACTTTACTCGGGGTACTCAAATCAGAAAATCCAATAGAAAAAATAGTCATTTTACACCTGCTATGAGCCTATCAGATTTGATCTACAAAACAAATTCATCTAAAAATCTTAAGAGTTAAGGAAAATAAGAATTTATCAGGAAAAATGACATAATACAAACTTTGCCCATTTAACACGTAGGTAGCGAAATATATGACGACAAAAGAAGAGATGGAGGTATAAGAGACGATTCAAAGTTCAAATCCAAAGGCTGAACAACTGCTGAAAAATATGGAACAGATTCCTCAAACGTGATATCAACACTAGTAAAGTATCGTCGCAAGGAAGGATTATGACAACGATATCCCTTATGTGTGCAGGAGTATCCAAAAAGAGTAATGCTAGATGAATTTAAAAATTAGACTTGATAATCTCAACTATTGAATATGTAATAAGTTTTAATAAATATTGTGACCCATAATAAAATCAATTTAAGTCTACTTTTTAAGTCCATGTAATATTATTCATCCAAAAAATATACATTTGATAACTCAGGGGTTAAGTTTATCAAACTCAATGCCAAAGTTGTGAACATAACAGACACATTAAAAAACCTTAGAAGTTCAAGAAAATAAGGACTTACAAAGAAAAATGACAGAATATGAATTTTGCTCATTTAACGCAGATGATGACATACGATTGATAAAATGACAAATAGTAATAACAGCATCACTCCAAAAACATCAGGGAATATTCATCTGAAATAACAATGCAAGAATAACTTCCAACAAATAACAGTTCTTGCGTTCAACAATATTGTTCTATGGAGATGTATAAGCACAAAAAATCTAATGAATAATATCAATTTTACTAAGATAAATTGAAAAATAATCAAATTCATATTCTCAAACATTATCAGAATGTAAAACACGTATACGACAACCATACTAAATTTTTATTTCCTTACGAAATGTCTCAACTATAGAGAATAATTCAGAACGAACTTTCATCAGAAACAATTAGGTCACGAAAATAATCATCCACAAATAACACAAAATAAAGATATTTATTAAATAAAATATTCTTTATTGGACCTCATACATTAGAATGTACAAACTCAAATGGATTAGACACATGATTATTGACTTTAGACTGAAAGGACACACGGTGATGGTTACTAAGTTGACAAGTTTAACAAAACAAAGACAACACATAACTAAAACTGAGAACTTGACGCTTCAAATTCTAGAGAGTAAAATGTCAAATACGACAATGTCATTGAAAAGGAGACAACGAGGTTTGTAGAACCTGAGTAGGTGAATCAAAGTCAACGTAATATAGGTCACCAGCTTCATGCCCTATACCAATATTTTTTTTCGTCTTGAGATCCTGAAATACACAATAAGAGGAATAAAAAGTTACAGAACAATTGATGAAACGAATAATCTTGCTAATGAAAAGTAAACTAACAAGAAACTGAAGAACAAATAACACAGAAGTTAGGGATATATCAGGACTTAAGTAAGTAGTTCTCAAACCTGAAACTTTAGACCAAATATCATTAGCAAGAGCAACACTATCTGTGAAAATAATAGACTGATAAATAGAAAAAATATCAGATGCACCAATCATGTGGTTAAAAGTGCCAGAATCTATGATCCAAGAACTACGAATGGAGGATAATAAACAAATAAAAGTAGTACCTGACTGAATAAAAATAGCAGTGAAAAAAGATGGAACAGTCTGTTGCTGGGACAAAAACTGAGCATACTCCTCTCGTATAATAGTAACTGACCTAGAGTCTGGTGGAGCTGACGGAGGTATGAAAGCAACAACTGAGGTGTCATCCTGATAAAAAACATGATTAGTAGCACTAGAAGGCTTTCCATACAAATTCTAACAAAAATCAACAGTGTGCCCTCCACGAACACAATAAGTACAGAAACGAGGTCCACTATGGCCCCCACGACCACCCGTACGACCTCCAATATGACCTCCTTGACCACCACGTCCACCTCGATGACCATCACTGTGACTACTAGAAATCACAAGAGTTGAGTGATCAGTGGAGGCACCATGATCAATGCCTGTAGGAATAGACAAAGTAGCACGCTGTAAACGAGAGAAAAACTCAAGTAATGAGAGAAGACTAGAACTACTCAAAATTTGAGAACGAATAGCCTCATATTCAAGTTTCAATTCTACCAAAAATCTAACAACATTCAAATCTTCATGTTGCTTCAGCCAAACTGCTGCATCAGTAGTAAACGGATGGTAGAGTTTCAACTCTTCACAGACTCCCTAAACGTGAAAGTAATAATCTTCAAGGCTTAGAGTACCTTGCTCCAACCGAAAGTATTGATTGCACACCTCATAAGCACGTGTAAAATTACCTGTACCAGAATACATAATGGTCAAGTGATCCCATATCTCTTTGGCGGTGTCAAGATAGAGCAGAGTAGAGCTAATACTAGGCTCAATGCTATTCAACAGTAAACAGATAATCTGACCGTCCTCTTGTTCTCATTGATCATATCCAAGAGTATCTTTCTTGAGTTTAGGATTAACCAAATATTTCTTTAAACCTTTACTTCGAAGGAAGACTTGAACGGAGCAGAACCATAAAGTATAATCGGTCCCATTGAATTTAACGGAATTCATGGGACCATTAACAAAAACTGGAGAAGAAGAGGTAACATTTTCTATTCGTCTTTCTTTGCATATCAAGCCTGCAGTGGACTGTTTTTTCCCTTTCTTTTTGAAGGTTTTAGGCTTTCTGTCGGATTCTTTTAACAATATTCTTTCACCATACTTTCTAACAATCTGCAAGAGCATGTCATCCATGGGCACAGTGCCCGACATCCTGGAATCCACTCCCTCTACAGTGTTTTGAGGAAATTAAGAAGAGACGGCGCGGACCAACTCTAAAGCCTCAAGATCCAAATTTGAAGAATGCCCTGCTATGCAATCAAAAAAATGCCAGTTGGTGACTCAAATATGGTAAGGACCAGTTAAGCAATAGATAGCAAGCCATTTCGTTTTAACTTTATGATTAAATATGTTCTGTACAACAAAGATGTTCCAAGTTTTCTATGTTTCACAGTTTTCATTGATCTAGTGGCAGCAATGGCTGCAAAAACAAGAGTGCAAGGTCGATATTACAATAGGAAAATGTTATTTAGACATAATTTTAAGACCTAATTATAGTTGTTGAATTAAAAGTGCCTCCACCTAACATTGAAACTCAAAACTAATCTAATTAATGCATTGAATTAAATCCCTTAATTAGGTCCGTATTATGCAATATTAGAACAGGAAAAAGAGAATTTTTGAGCCACTCATTATTGTTTAAAATATAACACATGAAAAGTATTAGGACAAGAGTTTGAGGATGGTGGTGTTTTTGGTTGGGGGGGGGGGGGGGAGAAAGAGAATATCACATTAATCAAAAGGTAAAACAATGAACTTGATCTGCTAACTTCTACAATAGCAACTTTGTGAGCTCCATTACATAATTTAACAAGTGATATCTCATCCACAAAAGTAGTCAAAAGCTTGGTTCTCGATTACTGTTCACATGATGAGAACTAAGCCATGTGATCTCTTTTGATATGACTCGATGAATAGATTCAAAGTTCTTGAAAGTGTAGCTTGCACCAATCTAACAAGCTTAAAGTATCAAGCATCGCAAACCTTCTTTGGCAACTTTGACCTGGAAGAAATTAAATATCTCAAGCAAACAGTGTGCATCAGCAGCTGCATATGCCTTCTGCTCTTCTGTAAGAGGACGGCATGACCAATCACTGCATTGAAGTTTCTAGAAGAATGTACATTGTAATTTATAGCAGCAAGATTATTGAATCATAAATTAATGTCGTGGAATGAAACAGAATTCAAGAACATGGTTTGGCAACATAAGGACTGAAACTCCTCTTCAACACTTCAAATAGACAAAATGTGGGTGTTAAAGTATAAAACCTTGGAAAGCGAGAAACCCAATATTTCCTCACAGATAGTTGACAAGCCCTTGGTTTCCTTTGGCATCTTTCTTCCGGGTTGGTTGTGTTGAAGATAATTGTATATGCTTGCAATATCAAAATAGGGTTCCACCTATTCTCCAACAATTAGAAATGCATCACCATTTTTATCACTTAAAAGCAAATACATCAAATAGTTCTCCCTCAAATACTAATCCATCACATTAAACTGCAGTGTGAAAATCTCAAGTGTTCTATTAAACTCATTAATTCAGTTGCACTGTTAAAGTCAGCCAAATTAATTCGTTCTATGCTTCCAATTGTCCGTTACAGATCAATTTACTTAACTAATTGAACGAATGCTAAATAATCAGAAGTTTTACATAAGCTAAAGAACTCAAAAACCTTCTTGTGTAATCAATCCAATGCCCATCTATGTCTTCAAGGTCAACAAACATATGAACAAATGTACATGAGCAAATGAATGGATGGTACTGGAAGTTAAATTTACTCAAAATTATATTGCGGAAATTAGTAACTCTAGGTGATCCTTCACGGCTAAATTCACACCTCAAGGATTAAATTCAATGGTGTGAATCCCTAAATTGACTTCGAAATGTGTCTGATTTCCCCATTTTAATATTCAAAACTTCGTTTGATTTTCGTTTCCTACATTTTGTCAGCAACCAAACAGAAAATAACTTACCCTATCAAATCCAGGATCGCAGCCTTGAGAGCAGAAAGTAGAAGATAAGAAAACCAAATCTTGTTTAAATAAAAACCCTAATTTGAGAATATGAGGCGACACGAACACATCCTTCATTAGCTCGTAGATTGAAGACAAAGGAATTGTCGAGAGGTCAAGTAGGAAGACCAAAGACTCGTTCTGCTGGGCAGTAGAATCGTCGTTGCCGACGAGTCGGCAAGCGATTTGGAGGAGACAGACGGTGGGGAAAGTGTCTTGACGGGTGCGAATTGGCTTCCATTCGGCGTCGAGTCCGATGACGGAGGAGCGAGGCAGAGCCCAGCTCAGGTGAGTGAACCCGGGCGAGTCGGTGGCGGATACGAAGTGAGTGGTGAGTGGCTTTTGATCTGTGTATTCCATTAGTAAAATGTAATGAAACCGCCTGATTTTTTTGGTGTTATCTGTCGTTTATTGTAAGAACTAAGAATTACTCTTCTGGAAAGGATTTTTGGTCCTTTTTTTTTTGTCAAAATGTGCACAATAAATTTTCATTAATATCTTTTTACTCAACTTTATGATATGAGCAATGTTAGAAACTTGAAGACTTAAACAGTAGTGCGGATAATTATAACCATTAATTTTACTGTGATTTCTAATATTTATTAAAATTCACTACCTATTCAATAGTTGGGATTTATAAGTCTAATTTTTAAGTGTAAGTTTATCTTGTATTACTCTTATGATATAAAACATAACATACTTTAATAAACATATTCCACAACCTTAAATAGTCTCATTTAATGACTATCAACATTCATCTCAAAACTATTTATATTATATCGTACTTTTAAACATGAGTTAGTCTACCCCTAATAAATCTATATTTGTATCTTGACTTCCGTTTCTTCCTGAAATGTTTTTTTTTAGAATTCCAGCTATCCCAATCTTTCGGGTCAAATTAATGCTGGACTTACACGCAAAGTTGACTCTCCACGCATAGGGGATAAATCTAAAACCAGTGGCGCCAAGGAGTGTTTGCACCTAGCAAGTTTCAAATTCTTGACCGGTACCAAGTTAAGATACTTACCAAGTAACCCTTCAAACCACTAGGCTAACCCCCTCGGGNGTAATGCTAGATGAATTTAAAAATTAGACTTGATAATCTCAACTATTGAATATGTAATAAGTTTTAATAAATATTGTGACCCATAATAAAATCAATTTAAGTCTACTTTTTAAGTCCATGTAATATTATTCATCCAAAAAATATACATTTGATAACTCAGGGGTTAAGTTTATCAAACTCAATGCCAAAGTTGTGAACATAACAGACACATTAAAAAACCTTAGAAGTTCAAGAAAATAAGGACTTACAAAGAAAAATGACAGAATATGAATTTTGCTCATTTAACGCAGATGATGACATACGATTGATAAAATGACAAATAGTAATAACAGCATCACTCCAAAAACATCAGGGAATATTCATCTGAAATAACAATGCAAGAATAACTTCCAACAAATAACAGTTCTTGCGTTCAACAATATTGTTCTATGGAGATGTATAAGCACAAAAAATCTAATGAATAATATCAATTTTACTAAGATAAATTGAAAAATAATCAAATTCATATTCTCAAGCATTATCAGAATGTAAAACACGTATACGACAACCATACTAAATTTTTATTTCCTTACGAAATGTCTCAAATATAGAGAATAATTCAGAACGAACTTTCATCAAAAACAATTAGGTCACGAGAATAATCATCCACAAATAACACAAAATAAAGATATTTATTAAATGAAATATTCTTTATTGGACCTCATACATCAGAATGTACAAACTCAAATGGATTAGACACATGATTATTGACTTTAGACTGAAAGGACACACGGTGATGGTTACTAAGTTGACAAGTTTAACAAAACAAAGACAACACATAACTAAAACTGAGAACTTGACGCTTCAAATTCTAGAGAGTAAAATGTCAAATACGACAATGTCATTGAAAAGGAGACAACGAGGTTTGTAGAACCTGAGTAGGTGAATCAAAGTCAACGTAATATAGGTCACCAGCTTCATGCCCTATACCAATATTTTTTTTCGTCTTGAGATCCTGAAATACACAATAAGAGGAATAAAAAGTTACAGAACAATTGATGAAACGAATAATCTTGCTAATGAAAAGTAAACTAACAAGAAACTGAAGAACAAATAACACAGAAGTTAGGGATATATCAGGACTTAAGTAAGTAGTTCTCAAACCTGAAACTTTAGACCAAATATCATTAGCAAGAGCAACACTATCTGTGAAAATAATAGACTGATAAATAGAAAAAATATCAGATGCACCAATCATGTGGTTAAAAGTGCCAGAATCTATGATCCAAGAACTACGAATGGAGGATAATAAACAAATAAAAGTAGTACCTGACTGAATAAAAATAGCAGTGAAAAAAGATGGAACAGTCTGTTGCTGGGACAAAAACTGAGCATACTCCTCTCGTATAATAGTAACTGACCTAGAGTCTGGTGGAGCTGACGGAGGTATGAAAGCAACAACTGAGGTGTCATCCTGATAAAAAACATGATTAGTAGCACTAGAAGGCTTTCCATACAAATTCTAACAAAAATCAACAGTGTGCCCTCCACGAACACAATAAGTACAGAAACGAGGTCCACTATGGCCCCCACGACCACCCGTACGACCTCCAATATGACCTCCTTGACCACCACGTCCACCTCGATGACCATCACTGTGACTACTAGAAATCACAAGAGTTGAGTGATCAGTGGAGGCACCATGATCAATGCCTGTAGGAATAGACAAAGTAGCACGCTGTAAACGAGAGAAAAACTCAAGTAATGAGAGAAGACTAGAACTACTCAAAATTTGAGAACGAATAGCCTCATATTCAAGTTTCAATTCTACCAAAAATCTAACAACATTCAAATCTTCATGTTGCTTCAGCCAAACTGCTGCATCAGTAGTAAACGGATGGTAGAGTTTCAACTCTTCACAGACTCCCTAAACGTGAAAGTAATAATCTTCAAGGCTTAGAGTACCTTGCTCCAACCGAAAGTATTGATTGCACACCTCATAAGCACGTGTAAAATTACCTGTACCAGAATACATAATGGTCAAGTGATCCCATATCTCTTTGGCGGTGTCAAGATAGAGCAGAGTAGAGCTAATATTAGGCTCAATGCTATTCAACAGTAAACAGATAATCTGACCGTCCTCTTGTTCTCATTGATCATATCCAAGAGTATCTTTCTTGAGTTTAGGAGTAACCAAATATTTCTTTAAACCTTTACTTCGAAGGAAGACTTGAACGGAGCAGAACCATAAAGTATAATCGGTCCCATTGAATTTAACGGAATTCATGGGACCATTAACAAAAACTGGAGAAGAAGAGGTAACATTTTCTATTCGTCTTTCTTTGCATATCAAGCCTGCAGTGGACTGTTTTTTCCCTTTCTTTTTGAAGGTTTTAGGCTTTCTGTCGGATTCTTTTAACAATATTCTTTCACCATACTTTCTAACAATCTGCAAGAGCATGTCATCCATGGGCACAGTGCCCGACATCCTGGAATCCACTCCCTCTACAGTGTTTTGAGGAAATTAAGAAGAGACGGCGCGGACCAACTCTAAAGCCTCAAGATCCAAATTTGAAGAATGCCCTGCCATGCCAAAAAAATGCCAGTTGGTGACTCAAATATGGTAAGGACCAGGTAAGCAATAGATAGCAAGCCATTTCGTTTTAACTTATGATTAAATATGTTCCGTACAACAAAGATGTTCCAAGTTTTCTATGTTTCACAGTTTTCATTGATCTAGTGGCAGCCATGGCTGCAAAAACAAGAGTGCAAGGTCGATATTACAATAGGAAAATGCTATTTGGACCTAATTTGAAAACCTAATTATAGTTGTTGAATTAAAAGTGTCTCCACCTAACATTGAAATGTACAACTAATTCAATTGATGCATTGAATTAAATCCCTTAATTAGGTTCGTATTGCGTAATATTAGAACAGGTAAAAGAGAATTTTTGAGCCACTCATTATTGTTTAAAATATAACACATGCAAAAGTATTAGGACAAGAGTTTGAAGATGGTGGTGTTTTTGGTGGGCGTTGGAGGGGGGAGAACATGGTTCTAGGTATCGGCCGAGTCCGTATTCGAGTCGGCCACCGTCGATACGATAACGGTCCGCGAGTCGAAGAAATTTCAAAATAAACTATCATCGGCGATATCTCGGGCGTCTCGGCCGAAATCAAAGGACTCGGTCACACCTCGGTTGATTCGGCCGATTTCCATCCGAGTCATACCGATTTGGATGTGAATCGTTCGACCACACCAAGAAAACAGAGTGTGCCCAAAAAAGAAAGGCAAAAAGGAAGAAGTAACTGAATTTTACCTCGTTTGTTTTGAGCCCTAAATGATAACTTTTTGCCATTATGTAAACAGATTGAGTAAAGAGAAAATTAACAACACATACCCGTAAATCTTCTAAAGAATCACCTTTCTCAGTTCTCAGTCTTACAAAGCTACTTCTTCTTTGCAACAGATACCCATCGCTGAAACCCTAAATCGCAGACAACGGAGCATCTCGATCACAGGCAGCAAAGCTTCGAGTTCCATTTGATATTTTTGAGCTCAAGCTCTCGATCGCCCCCCTTTTGTCTCTCTCTCTCTCTCTAACTCAAACTGAGACCCACAAAATATTTTTGTTTTATTTTATCAGTCTTCACTTCTTTAATTTATACTTTCCTATGTTATTTAGTTTAATGGATAAAATATTTTGTAATCAGAATATTAGACCAATACTAAATAGATAAAATGTTTGTATTTTCATAAAATTTAAAAGTAAAAAAAGATATATTTGTATTCACATTAATATATTATTTTGTAGTAGTGGGATCTAATGTATTGATCTTACTATCAAGGATGTTTAAAATTTTTGTTTTTATTTTAAAATTTTTAATATTAATTATTAGTATGTTCAAAATAATTATAGTTACATATATTGAAAGCTTAACAATATAGTGATATTTAATTCTTAATTTTTTAGAATGGCTCCAAAAAAAAAAGTGACATTGGTTGGGATCATACAACCAATATTTTTGATAGCGCCCTTGTAATTTCTTTTGATTATTCTAAATGTGTTAAATAACGTATATTGGGGATATGATTTATGAATGATGATGTTTATATTTTTTTGGAATTTTCATGATTTTTTCAATTATTTTTGAGCTTTCTATCTAGTATTTTGAGCGTATAGGCCGATACCATGCCACGACACTGCAACCGATGTGTGTCAATGCCCTCTGAGTTGGTGACCGATACTGCGACTTTGAACCATGGGAGAGAAGGAGAATATCACATTAATCAAAATGTAAAACAATGAACTTGATCTGCCAACTTCTACAATATTAAATTTGTGAGCTCCATTACATAATTTAACAAGTAATATCTCATACACAAAAGTAGTCAAAAGCTTGGTTCTCGATTACTGTTCACATGTGGAAATGCAGATGATGAGAACTAAGCCATGTGATCTCTTTTGATATGACTCAATGAATAGATTCAAAGTTTTTGAAAGTGTAGCCTACACCAATCTAACAAGCTTAAAGCATCACAAACCTTCTTTGGCAACCTTGACCTGGAAGAAATTAAATATCTCAAGCAAACAGTGTGCATCAGCAGCTGCATATGCCTTCTGCTCTTCTGTAAGAGGACGGCATGACCAATCACTGCATTGAAGTTTCTAGAAGAATGTACATTGTAATTTATAGCAGCAAGATTATTGAATCATAAATTAATGTCGTGGAATGAAACAGAATTCAAGAACATGGTTTGGCAACATAAGGACTGAAACTCCTCTTCAACACTTCAAATAGACAAAATGTGGGTGTTAAAGTATAAAACCTTGGAAAGCGAGAAACCCAATATTTCCTCACAGATAGTTGACAAGCCCTTGGTTTCCTTTGGCATCTTTCTTCCGGGTTGGTTGTGTTGAAGATAATTGTATATGCTTGCAATATCAAAATAGGGTTCCACCTATTCTCCAACAATTAGAAATGCATCACCATTTTTATCACTTAAAAGCAAATACATCAAATAGTTCTCCCTCAAATACTAATCCATCACATTAAACTGCAGTGTGAAAATCTCAAGTGTTCTATTAAACTCATTAATTCAGTTGCACTGTTAAAGTCAGCCAAATTAATTCGTTCTATGCTTCCAATTGTCCGTTACAGATCAATTTACTTAACTAATTGAACGAATGCTAAATAATCAGAAGTTTTACATAAGCTAAAGAACTCAAAAACCTTCTTGTGTAATCAATCCAATGCCCATCTATGTCTTCAAGGTCAACAAACATATGAACAAATGTACATGAGCAAATGAATGGATGGTACTGGAAGTTAAATTTACTCAAAATTATATTGCGGAAATTAGTAACTCTAGGTGATCCTTCACGGCTAAATTCACACCTCAAGGATTAAATTCAATGGTGTGAATCCCTAAATTGACTTCGAAATGTGTCTGATTTCCCCATTTTAATATTCAAAACTTCGTTTGATTTTCGTTTCCTACATTTTGTCAGCAACCAAACAGAAAATAACTTACCCTATCAAATCCAGGATCGCAGCCTTGAGAGCAGAAAGTAGAAGATAAGAAAACCAAATCTTGTTTAAATAAAAACCCTAATTTGAGAATATGAGGCGACACGAACACATCCTTCATTAGCTCGTAGATTGAAGACAAAGGAATTGTCGAGAGGTCAAGTAGGAAGACCAAAGACTCGTTCTGCTGGGCAGTAGAATCGTCGTTGCCGACGAGTCGGCAAGCGATTTGGAGGAGACAGACGGTGGGGAAAGTGTCTTGACGGGTGCGAATTGGCTTCCATTCGGCGTCGAGTCCGATGACGGAGGAGCGAGGCAGAGCCCAGCTCAGGTGAGTGAACCCGGGCGAGTCGGTGGCGGATACGAAGTGAGTGGTGAGTGGCTTTTGATCTGTGTATTCCATTAGTAAAATGTAATGAAACCGCCTGATTTTTTTGGTGTTATCTGTCGTTTATTGTAAGAACTAAGAATTACTCTTCTGGAAAGGATTTTTGGTCCTTTTTTTTTTGTCAAAATGTGCACAATAAATTTTCATTAATATCTTTTTACTCAACTTTATGATATGAGCAATGTTAGAAACTTGAAGACTTAAACAGTAGTGCGGATAATTATAACCATTAATTTTACTGTGATTTCTAATATTTATTAAAATTCACTACCTATTCAATAGTTGAGATTTATAAGTCTAATTTTTAAGTGTAAGTTTATCTTGTATTACTCTTATGATATAAAACATAACATACTTTAATAAACATATTCCACAACCTTAAATAGTCTCATTTAATGACTATCAACATTCATCTCAAAACTATTTATATTATATCGTACTTTTAAACATGAGTTAGTCTACCCCTAATAAATCTATATTTGTATCTTGACTTCCGTTTCTTCCTGAAATGTTTTTTTTTAGAATTCCAGCTATCCCAATCTTTCGGGTCAAATTAATGCTGGACTTACACGCAAAGTTGACTCTCCACGCATAGGGGATAAATCTAAAACCAGTGGCGCCAAGGAGTGTTTGCACCTAGCAAGTTTCAAATTCTTGACCGGTACCAAGTTAAGATACTTACCAAGTAACCCTTCAAACCACTAGGCTAACCCCCTCGAGGTTTCTTTCTAAAATGTTAGGACAATGCTATTTGGACATTTTTTGATGAACTAATGATGCACAATCATTTGATTGGTTATGAGTTTCATCTAAAATTATAACTCACATCTAATCTAATAGTTGCGGTAAAATCACATCATTAATTCTTTATATTAAATCCATAAATAAGGTCTCTATAACATTTCTCAAAATATTATAGTTCAGCCATCGGCTATGATATATGGATGTGTCTAAGGTTAGGCCCTTTCGGCCTTGGGCCGTTCACGGGCCTTGTTTGTATACCAAGTAAGTAAATACACCTTAGACCCTTCAGACCTTGGGCTGGAAATGGCCCTTTTGGTATCCCAAGCAAGTAATTAATACCAGGCCCTTGACATTTTTTAGTCGTATCACATCAAAATGANTGAAAAATAATCAAATTCATATTCTCAAGCATTATCAGAATGTAAAACACGTATACGACAACCATACTAAATTTTTATTTCCTTACGAAATGTCTCAAATATAGAGAATAATTCAGAACGAACTTTCATCAAAAACAATTAGGTCACGAGAATAATCATCCACAAATAACACAAAATAAAGATATTTATTAAATGAAATATTCTTTATTGGACCTCATACATTAGAATGTACAAACTCAAATGGATTAGACACATGATTATTGACTTTAGACTGAAAGGACACACGGTGATGGTTACTAAGTTGACAAGTTTAACAAAACAAAGACAACACATAACTAAAACTGAGAACTTGTCGCTTCAAACTCTAGAGAGTAAAATGTCTAATACGACAATGTCATTGAAAATGAGACAACGAAGTCTGTAGAACCTGAGTAGGTGAATCAAAGTCAACGTAATATAGGTCACCAGCTTCATGTCCTATACCAATATTTTTTTTCGTCTTGAGATCCTGAAATACACAATAAGAGGAATAAAAAGTTACAGAACAATTGATAGAACTAATAATCTTGCTAATGAAAAGTAAACTAACAAGAAACTGAAGAACAAATAACACGGAGGTTAGGGATATATCAGGACTTAAGTAAGTAGTTCTCAAACCTGAAACTTTAGACCAAATATCATTAGCAAGAGCAACACTATCTGTGAAAATAATAGACTGATAAGTAAAAAAAATATCAGATGCACCAATCATGTGGTTAAAAGTGCCAGAATCTATGATCCAGGAACTACGAATGGAGGACAATAAACAAGTAAAAGTAGTACCTGACTGAATAAAAGTAGAAGTGAAAAAAGATGGAACAGTCTGTTGCTGGGACAAAAACTAAGCATACTCCTCTCGTATAATAGTAACTAACCTAAAGTCTTGTAGATCTGACGGAGATATGAAAGCAACAACTGAGGTGTCATCCTGATAGAAAACATGATTAGTAGCACTAGAAGGCTTTCCATACAAATTCTAACAAAAATCAACAGTGTGCCCTCCACGAACACAATAAGTACAGAAACGAGGTCCACTATGGCCCCCACGACCACCCGTACGACCTCCAATATGACCTCCTCGACCACCACGTCCACCTCGATGACCATCACTGTGACTACTAGAAATCACAAGAGTTGAGTGATCAGTGGAGGCACCATGATCAATGCCTGTAGGAGTAGACAAAGTAGCACGCTGTAAACGAGAGAAAAACTCAAGTAATGAGAGAATACTAGAACTACTCAAAATTCGAAAACGAATAGCCTCATATTCAAGTTTCAATTCTACCAAAAATCTAACAACATTCAAATCTTCATGTTACNCGGCGTCGAGTCCGATGACGGAGGAGCGAGGCAGAGCCCAGCTCAGGTGAGTGAACCCGGGCGAGTCGGTGGCGGATACGAAGTGAGTGGTGAGTGGCTTTTGATCTGTGTATTCCATTAGTAAAATGTAATGAAACCGCCTGATTTTTTTGGTGTTATCTGTCGGTTATTGTAAGAACTAAGAATTACTCAAGGATTTTTGGTCCTTTTTTTTTTTTTGTCAAAATGTGCACAATAAATTTTCATTAATATCTTTTTACTCAACTTTATGATATGAGCAATGTTAGAAACTTGAAGACTTAAAAAGTAGTGCGGATAATTATAATTATTGATTTCACTGTAATTTCTAACATTTATTAAAATTCACCACCTATTCAATAGTTGAGATTTATAAGTCTAATTTTTAAGTGTAAGTTTATCTTGCATTACTCTTATGATATAAAACATAACATACTTTAATAAACATATTCCACAACCTTAAATAGTCTTATTTAATGACTATCAACATTCATCTCAAAACTATTTATATTATATCGTATTTTTAAACATGAGTTAGCCTACCCCCTAATAAATCTATATTTGTATCTTGACTTCCGTTTCTTCCTGAAATGTTTTTTTTTAGAATTCCAGCTATCCCAATCTCTCGGGTCAAACTAATGTTGGACTTACACGCAAAGTTGACTCTCCACGCATAGGGGGTAAATCTAAAACCAGTGGCGCTAAGGAGTGTTTGCATCTAGCAAGTTTCGAATTCTTGACCGGTACCAAGTTAAGATACTTACCAAGTAACCCTTCAAACCACTAGGCTAACCCCCTCGAGGTTTCTTTCTAAAATGTTAGGACAATGCTATTTGGACATTTTTTGATGAACTAATGATGCACAATCATTTGATTGGTTATGAGTTTCATCTAAAATTATAACTCACATCTAATCTAATAGTTGCGGTAAAGTCACATCATTAATTCTTTATATTAAATTCATAAATAAGGTCTTTATAACATTTCTCAAAATGTTATAGTTCAGCCATCGGCTATGATATATGGATGTGTCTAAGGTTAGGCCCTTTCGGCCTTGGGCCGTTCACGGGCCTAGTTTGTATCCCAAGTATGTAAATACACCTTAGGCCTTTGAGACCTTGGGTCGAAAATGGGCCTTGTTTGGTTTCCCAAGTAAGTAGTTAATACCAAGCCCCTGGCATTTTTAAGTTGTATCATGTCAAAATCAACCTTATGCACCTCAATATATTTTGTAATCACGTGTAGTAAAATGTACATTATATATTATTGGTGTATGGTTATTTGATCATNAAAAGTTGAACCCTCTTATTATTAAGATAAAAAATAATCATATATATGATTTTTTTAAAATAATTTATGTTATATCAATGTAATTCTTCAATCATAATAAATTTTAGGATAAATTATACTCACACTCATGTGGATTGGTATAACTATAGAGACACCCCCTTAACTTTCTAAAATTACAGTAATACCTCATTCAGGTCTTGTCCCTTAACAAATATAACAAAAAATGCGATTTTTCATAATTATCCTTACTAAACAACATTTTTTACTTATCATCCTCTCATATATTTAAAAACTAATAAATAAGTTATTTTTGGGTTCAATTCGTCAAATTTGAAATTGATACGATCAATCTGTTTTATTTAATCGTGTCGAATTTTCTCTATTTGTTTGTTTGTATGTTAACACGAATAACGCGGAATTGCAATGATTCATATGTTTAACTGATATTATAAAAATAAAATATTAATTATTTGTTGTTGTTTATTAAGCATTAGCATAATTATTATATAAAAAATATATTTTTATGTTTATTAAGTTAAATTTTAGTTTACAGAAAAAATATGAGAATGTATTCAATTAAGTAGTAATAGAACCTTAGATTTAAATCTTAACGTTAAGTTTTTTTTATTTAAAGTTTATATGAGTTAACACGAATACGAACACATTTGTGCGGGTAGCCCAACAGTTTTGAGTTGAACCCAGACAAACTGTAGACCCAGATGTTAAGGGTTTGACTCTCGTCGATGTCTCTCGGATTTAATTGATACATGTGGTTTATGGGTAATTATAGGTATTCGGGGTTTACTTTCGCAAGAATGGGTCTAAAGTGGCCTTACCTTGGAGAGGTTCCACTATATAGAAAAGAAACATAAATGCGGACACGATACGAAAATAATAGGTTAGCCTAATTTTATCTTGGAATAATATGAGTATTAAAGTATAAAAAATTGATAATGTAATCATTTTTTTTGACATTGTCAATAACTATTCTAACCATAGAGTTTTTGTGAAATGTATAGGTAAACAGTAAGGGATGTCAGTGTAATTTAAAAAAATTGAGGGGTGTCTCTGTAATTAGACTAATATGCAGGGATGCCGGTGTAAGTAAAACTTGAATTTTTTAGAATTTTAAAATATTTGATAATAAGAATTATAGAGTAGTATATTAATTTTTATTCCAATTGACCTAACTTATTTTTAATTGCAGTAAGGTTCTAATGTAAT